CAGCAGACTGCCTAGATATTCAAATTTTTCCACATTTTCTATGGTGTATCTATTTTTATATAGAACACAAAATGATTTAGAAACAGCTCACGAAGAAATTCAAATACATAAAAATGAACTTTCTCGTGTACGTCAACAATTGTCACAAATTGAACAGAGTCGAACACAATTACAAAATGAATTAGAACAAATGAAACAACAATGTCGACAATTCGAACAACAAATATCAGATAAAGATGAATCAAAAAAGAATGTTGATCTTGTTGTTGATCAATATCGACAACAATTAACTAATGAAAAAGAACTTCGAACAAGTAACATTTTTTATTTTATTCAAATTTTTAATTTATTTAATTGGTTTAGAGACAAATTCTGAATTAGAAAATGTTCGATTGAAATTAACGCAATTAACTAATGAATATGAACAATTAAAAATATCGACAAATGAATTTGAAACAAATGAAGTAAATACTCGACGAAAAATGGATGAAGCGAATCGAACACGACAAGCTGTTCTTGATCGGACAAGAGATGAATATGAAAAATTATTAAGAAAATATAATGATCTCGATGAAGTTTATCGTGAATTAGTTACCATTCGAGAAAAAGATACTTGTAAGAATTTATTTCATATTTTCAAAATAGAAATTTTCTTTTATTTCGTTTAATGCAGCAGATTCTTCAATAATTCGTCGTGAACTTGAAAATTTACATACTGAAAATATTGAATTAACTAAACAAAAAGAAACACTTTGTATTACACATGATCTACAGATAAAAAAACTTCATGGTAATTATGCAACTAAATTACGTGAAGCTGAACAATGGCCTGATCGTCTTCAAACAGAATTAAAACATGAACGTGAACAACATCGAATACAAATGATTGAATTAGAACGGCGTCTTAAAGAAAATTTTTCAGCTGTAAGTACATATCATATTCGAAAATCTATCACATATATATCATCAATTTATTTAGGAATTAGATATTGAAAAACAAAAAACAAGTGGTCTCTTACGTAAATATGAACAAGATAGTGGTCATTCAACACAACAACTTCGACATGAATTGATTTCAACTGAAAAAGTAACGATTGAACAACGTCAATATTATGAACAACAAATTGAACAACTTCAACGAGATAAAAATGATTTAAAAAAAGAATTAGATACATTGAGAGATGTTTTAAAAGAATTACATCAACAAATGAGTAAAAAAATAATTATCATAAGAAAAATAATTTTTCAAAAATTTGTTTTCATTTAGATAATCAAGATTCACTGAATAATGATCGAGGTCATAGTTTAAAATTAAAAGAAGATTTATTAGAAAAAGAGAATAATTTATTTCAAGCACAATCAACTATAACTGAATTAAAAAAAGACTTAGAACAAGCACGAGAAGAAGTAATTCATTGATTTCTTTTTTTCTTAGCTAAAAACAAACGATTAATTTGTTCTATGTAGATGATAACATTACAAGAAACAGTACATAAAGAATGTACAGAACGTGAACAGTTAAAAGATGCACTTATTGAAGCACGTCAACAATTATTATCATTGAAAAAGAATGGTACGAATATTTCGACTGATTATCTTATTATATGCTTCTTTTGTTTAGGTGTTCTAAACGGAACAGCATCTCGATCACTTCATTCTCCACCTGTAGCTTTTGAAGAAATTGAACGACGTGTTTCTGGTCCTCTTCCATATTCGCATCCACAAAATCAACAATTAGCATCTATAGCTCATAATAAAAATTCTTCTTACATTCATTCAGAACCGCCATCACGTGATAGTAGTATACATGGTGATGCTGCTGATACTATTGCACGACCAATGTCTTCAACACATAATATTCCATATCGTCATAAAACTTTACCACCTATACATCCACAGCAGCAACAACGCCGTAATGGAAGCGGTCCAGCATCAAATAAATCTGAGCAATTATTAGAAAATCAACGACGTATTGCACGTTTTATTAAAAATATCAAATAAATATTCGAGCTTATATTATTAGATAAAAATATCGAGCTTTTACTATTGATATGTTTTTCTTTCTCCGATATATTTCATCGAGCTTGTTTTTCTATTTATTTATTTTTTGTTTTCTTCATTTTATTAGAGCTTTTCTTGTTTTGATCAGATTGTATTCTTATAATCTCATCGTTTGATAATCTCTCTCTTTTTTTTTTGTGTATTCACATTAATCCTCAACCTAAGTCGCTATGAAATATTGTAATTTGTGATTGTCAGTGTTGAAATACATGATTTATCAATACTCATTAAAAAAAAACAAATCTCTCAATTCCAATGATTCTTTGCTAAGAATTTGATATTAATTAAAATTTAGTGACATTAGAGCTTCGTGGTTTATTTATTACTATGAAATTGTTATTTTATCGCTTCATTTTTTAAGAAAGAAAAATTCATATAACATCAATGCGTTTTAATTAAAATAAATTAGGTAGATAGTGTATTTATTGACTTACGTCTATACAAAGGTGTAGTTGTTGCCTTGATTAGAAAGTAACCTTTTCAGTATCGATGATAAACTATAATATAGACTGGCATTTTCAACATATTATTATGATTAGTTGTAGTCGTAGTTCGTATTAGTGAAGGTGTTTTTTTTGTTTTCAATGGTGTCTTTACTTGATCGTGTTATTCTTAAAGCTTATTGGCGGCTATTACCAATTATATTTCTATCATATATCATTGCTTATGTTGATCGAAATAATGTTTCATTAGCTAAACTTAAAATGGTTGATGATTTGCCGTCATTTCGATATCGAACTGAAAGTATTTTTGCATATGGTCAAGTAGCCTTTTTTATTGGATACTTACTTCTTGAAATTCCTGGTACATTATTAGTTGAAAAATGGAGTGCTCGTAAGTGGATATGTCGTATTATGATTACTTGGGGTATTTTAGCATCATTGACAGCAATTGTTAAACAACCATGGCATTTCTATTTACTTCGATTTTTACTTGGTCTTGCTGAAGCTGGCTTTTTTCCAGGTGTTATTGTCTATTTAACTCATTGGTTTCCACGAAAAGCAAGAGCACGAGCACTTTCTCTATTTCTTATCGCTACACCTATCGCTCAATTTGTTAGTCCAAAAATTTCCTATTATATTCTTCGTATGGGTACCGTAGAGAATGGTATCTATTATAGAACATTATTTAAACTTAAAGGTTGGCAATGGATGTATATAGCTTGGGGTGTACCATCAGTGATACTCGGTATCATTGTTCTATTTTTTCTAACAGATCGACCAAAAGATGCTGCTTGGTTAAGTAGAGAAGAACGTGAAGTATTAGAAACAGAATTATCAATTGAATTAGAACGTCAACAATCTATTGGTGGTCATTTAACAGTATTACAAGCTTTACGTCAAATTAAAGTACTTCTTCTTGCTATTGCTTATTTTTTTATTGTAACAGGTAATTATGGTGTAGAACTTTTCTTACCAACGATTCTTCGTGATTGGTATCATTTAAATGATTCTCTTTTGACATGGTTATTAATGATTCCACCATTAGGTTCTCTTTTTGGAATGTTAATAGTTGGATTTAGTTCAGATCGAACTAAAGAACGACGTTTTCATGCTGCTATACCTATTCTTATTGGAGCAATAGGTCTTGGTTTAACATTAATTCGACATCAGCCATTAATTACAATAATTATTCTTTTTACAATAACATCAATTGGTACGAAAGCTTATTTACCAGCATTTTGGTCATTGCCAAGTTTATTTCTAAGTGAATCGGCTGCTGCTGGTTCCATTGGTTTTATTAATTCAATTGGTAATCTTGGTGGTGGTGTTGGACCGACTATATTAGGTGTTATTAAAGATCGTACTGGTTCATTTTTTCTTGGTATTCTATCTCTCTCAATATCAATGGCTATAACAGCCGTAATTATTATGGCTCTTCGTTTCGATCGACGCTATCAAACCTCAACTCCTAAAAATACTCAACAATTATCTACTCCAGATATCGATCATAGATTAATAGAAAAAACAACAGAGATTAAAGAACTAACTCAGTTCTAAAGATTTATTCGTTTTTTTAGAATTATAAAAAAAAGAGAGAAATAAATAAATGTAGTTATAGTATGATTGATCTCAAGGCTAATACTTTCTTTTTCTAAATATTAATATTCATTGAAAATAAATTTTACTTATTAATGTTTACTTTATTTATATTTAAATTAGAAAACTTAAATAAATTTCTTTATAATTCACTAATTATTGAAGTAGTGTGCATACTAAAAATAATAACGTGCAGAAAAATAGAATGATTAAAAAGATGGAAAGAATGAAATTGAGAAACCGGACATAATAGAAAAGAAGAAGAGAAAAAAAACAATAACTATCACAAAACGGGCACATTAGAATAAATAGTTGCGTCACAACTAGTATAATTGACAAAACAATAAAAATAAAATGAGCTTCACAATAACAGAATAACGATCGTACTGAATCTGACACATGAAATAAACAATAACTACTAATAAAAATAAGAACATTTTTTTGATATAACAAGAAATAAAATTAAAAACAAAATGAAAAATTTTCACATTTATTTATTTTTCAAATTTTGATAACCTTCGTGGTGCTCGTTTTTTTCCTGCTGTTAAGACAAATAATTTTCCATCCTTAACAGAAACAAGTAAATGACTATAATCTTTTGTTAAATAGAGACAATTGATTTCTGTTCGAAGTCGAATTGTTTGAATAGTAATCATTCTTTAAATAATAATAATAATAATCGGATTAGAAAAATAAATGAATTAAAATATCTTACTCAAACATATCTTTTATAATAACTCTTGCAATTACTGCTGATGTTTGTGTTGATGATGATGATGACGATGTTGATTCAGATCTTTTTTCGATTGGTGAACTATGATTAACAGCAAGTATAATATATTGATCACTTAAAAGCATATCAACAACATGATATTCAAATTTTCGTGTACGAATAAGATGACCATTAATTGAATATAAAAATAAATGTGTATCATCATGTTCTGTTTGTATAAGAATATGTCGCTCATCAGATACTTTTAAATTTACAATCGGATCATTAATACTATTCGTTGGTCGTAATGTACGTACATAAATTCCATGTTCCATTGTATACATATTACAAGTACCATCTAACGAACCTGAAGCAACAAGATCAAGTTCAGATGAAACTGCAACACATGTAACTTCAGCTGTATGACCATAGAGTGTTATTTTTGGTGAAGTAAATGTTGTTGAATCTTGTTCATTTAATGTTAAATACCAAATAATACATGTTGTATCTCGTGAACCAGTAATAAGAATATAACCAGTTGAATCTAATGTCAAACATGTAATAATATCTGTATGATGAACAATAGAATTAATTGTTTTTGCTTTAGTTATTGAATATGTACGTAAAGACCAATCCCAATGAGCACCACTATAAATAAATTTAGCATCATGAGAAACAGCAAAAAGACGTGAATTAATATCTATTGAAGGTGAAAATGGTGCAGTCGTATTAAGTCGATTTCTAAGAATATAAAAAAATATTTATAAAAAAATTATTTTCGAAAAAGAAAATCTCTACCGTTCAGATAATAATGTTGGATCTCGTTCAAACGTAAAAAAATTATTTGATGATCGATCATATGGATGCCAACCTATTTTAATCAAACACAAAAAATAAATTAAATTTAAAATAATAAAATAAACAAACCATTATTTCCAATAACACCATGAGTATTAATAGTAATAAGTACATCAGGTATACCTTGATGTATAAAAGATCGTAGTTGATTTTTTGGAATAGAAATATATATAATTGGATTAAATAATTTTTCCTCATGTGGAAGAATTTCAACAAAAAATGCTTTTATATTATTTAAATTCTGAAATATATGTGATGGACGTCCTTGTGATTCTAATTGAAATGTTGCTTGTTCACGTGTTTGTCGTGGTGGATGTGGTTCAGTTAATAATTGTGATGGAATTTGTCCAAAATTTTGTATCATACTATCAATAGCTTCACGTGTTACATCATCATCAATAGTATTACCATCAACTGCTGTTTCATATGAACAATACATGAATACATTCAATGCATCTATAGCTGCTTCTCCTGTTTGTTTATAACCAAATATAAGATCAATCCATTCATGAAGATGTTCTGAGACATAATTCGATTC